AGAAACCGAGCTTGTCTTAGCGAGGGCTGGGTGTCGTGCCGGGCCCGCTTATCAGCCTGTGTCCATCTTGTTCAGCACAGCCCCCACCCACATCTGCAGCTCCCGGCGGCTCCTTTGTGCGAGTGACCTAACCCCTGGCACACTCTTGCATAAAGGGAAGGGAACCCGGAAGAAGGTGATAGCAGGAAAGAACAGGAGTTAGTGAGGGAAAGTCCACAGTGCCGTGTGACTCTCAAGCGGCAGATGATCAGGATCAGAAGACCTGGCCACAGGTGCTGGCCTGAAGTCTAGATGGGATCTTGGTGACTCGGGCCTGGGTTATTAGCCTGTCCTTGAGGCAAAGGCTCTCTGCGAGCTGTAAGCTTCACGAGTATTTAAGGCATCTGTACTGGCCCGCCCTTGGGGTCCTGACAGGACACGTTCTCACGTTCCCTTTTAAAAAGGGGCCTTGCCCACCTCCGGCCTCTCTCTCCCTCATTCTCTCTTCCTCTCTGTCTTTCTCTTCCACCGCTCTTGTCCCCAGGGGCCCATCTCTGCCCCCTACTCTGCCCTTCTCTCTCCTCTTCTTGCAAACCTCCTATGTGAGCCTTGTTGCGCAAATTACAGCAAGCATGGACCTTCCACTTCAAACAAAAACCAAACAACTGTATTATCATTTTTGGGCACACGCGCATGTGTGTTTGTGTGTGTGCACATGCCACTGTGTAAGTATAAGTATGGATATCAGAGGACAACTTTATGGAGCCATGAGGCAGGCATCACCTCCTACTGTGCCGGTCCCAGGGACTGAACTCGGACCACAAGGCTTGCATGGCCAAGAGCCTTTACCCCCTGAGCCATCTCTCCAGCCCTTGAAGCCCCACTTTTACTGAGGCAAATCTGCCCTGCTCTGCATTCTCCCGAGTCTAGATGGGAAGATGAAGTGTGAGACTGACGAGGATCCAGAAAAAGATTAAATTAAAAAAATAAAAACTCTTCACTCTGATTATTGTGTGTGAAGATCAGTTCCTGCTGGTTCCATACACTGAACGCAGACACTGAATTTTCCCAGAATGCTTCTGAAGAACAGGGTCTGTTTTTAAGGCACTTCCTTTACCTGGAGCTTGTCAATAGTCCTTTAAATGATAAATGCACAGACAAGGAAGTTATGCCAATGCCCTTTTGAAGTATCCTGAGGATTTAAAGGAGAGCGAAACAAAACCAGTCCCCATCCCATGCCTGCCAGTCACCTTCCCCTCCCCCTCCAAGCTCTGTAGGCTTCCCATCTATCGCTTACTCTAGGTTGCCCAAGCCCCTCTCTTCACTAGGAAAATGCAAATGCCAGTATTCTTAGGGCCAGGGCATTTCTGACCAGGGGAGTTTATAAGCCCAAGTATTGCTCTGTTGACTGAAATTTCATGAACTAAAAAGTATAAAGAGGTCCATTGAATTAATATAGATAACCAGTTGCTATTAAGTAAATAGTAGCTCCTGCTGAGGTTGTTAGAGGAAAAAAAAGCCCTTAATAGTTGGAGATGGATGCTGAAGTACTTATGAATGAAACGGTGCTCCATTTCTGGTATACTTATGAATGAAACGATGCTCCATTTCTGGTATGCTTCTTAAAAGTTCGGTTAAGAACTGGGCAGTGACAGCACACGCCTTTAATCCCAGCACTTGGGAGGCAGAAGCAGGTAGATCTCTGTGAGTTTGAGGCCAGGCTGGTCTACAGAGCGAGTTCCAGGACAGTTAGGGACACACACACACACACACACACAGTTCAGTTAAGGGATGGAGAGATGTTTCAGTGGGTAAAGGCATTTGCCAACAAGCTTGATGTCCTGAGTTTGACCCCTGGTACCCACAGGGGAGAAGAAGAGAGCTGTCTCTTGTGTGTACATTTCTCTCTCACTGGGTGGGTCTGGAATTTTTTTTCGTGATTTAAAAAGCTAGGAGAGAAAGGAAACGGAAGTCAATATCTGATCCAGTTTTGAGTCTGTGGTTAAGTAGGGAAGCAGAGATCTTAACGTGGAGACTTTGATGAGGGAGTTTTTGCAGGGTGACTTCAACAAAGAGAGCTTGACGGATTCTTCCTGGAGGATGGAGTCATCAGGGTTTCCAGGATAAAGGATGGACAAGTGAGCAATGAAGAGCCTCTGCTCCATGGTGCCGTACTCAGGGCTGCTGGGAAGTCGTGGAAGGGAACAGGGATGCCTCCTGACTTGTGCAACGCAGGAAAGACCCATGGAAGACATTCACTTCCATTCAGCCCTTTGGTACTGATATTGGCATTGACTCACACCTCATAGTCTTGGCTACGGTCAGGACTGAGTGGCTACTTGAGGTCATTCCTGCATCTTGGCCGTCTGGATGGCTTCTCTGAAGTTTAGTGTCTCTGGGGAAATATTGTTGAAAGGGGACTGTGCAGTACTTTCATGTAGCTTGCAGCCAGTTTCTAGCACGGTCACGAAGCCCAGCAGGGAGGGCTGGAATGCAATATGGGAAGCTCTCTTCTCAGCCGGGTCATTGGCTCATAGGGTGGGGGTGACCGCACCCAGCTCCATGTCTACAGAGACATCCTCGACAGCTGTTGTCTGTGTTTGGCTTTCCATTTGGCTCGCTTAACCTGACTTGCAGAAACCATTTGCAGAGGACAACTGTGACAGTGATGTTTCCATCTTCTCTTGCTTGGACCCTTCTCCACAACCCTGCTGCTGCTTAAGTTGTATCTCTCTCTTGGCATCTAAGGCACCTTAGGCTCAGGAGGTAGGTCTTTAGTTTGCACCAGGAGTTGATTCTTGAGGTTCTGAAGACTTCTTCACAGGCTCCTTATATGAGATGAGGGTGGATTTTTTTTGAGGGGGGTGATTTTCAGTGACATGAAGAATGGGATAATCTTACATAGTTTGGACTATTCCAAGTTATGAGAACAGAGAGTTAGTGATGGTTTAGGAACTATCTTTCCCTGGACCCCTCTTTTTTGAGACAGGGTCCCGTAGCCTAGGCTAGTCTCAAACTCTCTATAGTCTTGCTTCTGCCTTCTGAATACAAGGGGTGCATGTGTGTACTTCCATGGTTGGCTTAAATGTCTTTGCTTTAATACATTGTAATTAATTTTATCAATCAAGATATGACACAGAGGTCTGGAGAGATTGTTCGGTGTGTAAGAGAGTTTGCTGAACAAGTGTGAGGACCCAAGTCTGAAGATCCCAGCGTCCCTTTAAAAATTTGAACATGCTCATACATGTGCCTACAAACCCAGTGTTGTGGGGAAAGGGTGACAGAGACAGGAGGGTAGCTGGGGCTTGTTTTCACCAAAAAAGTGTCTTCTTCATAACCCAGGTAAAGCGATCTGAAGGTAATATATAGAAAATAGGTCAAAGAAAACAATTTGAGGGTGGGGTGTTGTGATAGTTAAACTCAGTTGTCAGTACGATGAAATCTAGAATCATCTAGGAAGACAGAGCAGGTCTGTGGGATGTTGTTGTGGTTAGGTTAATTGAGGTAGAAAGATGTGTCCACTGTGGGCGGCATCATTCCCTAGCTAGGATGCTAGACTCCACAGAAAGGAAACAGCGAACCAAACACATTCATCTCTCTCTCTGCCTTCTCAACTTGAGCAGTTGCCTGAAGCTCCTATCACCATAATTTTGTCGTAATTAACTGTGAGCCAAAATAGCACTTCCTTCCTCAAATTACTTTGCCCGGGTACTTTACCTCAACAGGAAATATAACCGGAAGCGGTTTCATGCTGAATATTTACAAAGAGGAGCAAAGGGGACAGGGGAGAGCGAGAGATAAAGAGCGGAAAATGTACCTCAAACATTTTTTCCTTTCTGGGGAATAATCCTTCTGTACATTATGAAGATGTGTTGCTCTCATCGTTAATAAAAAGCTGATTGGCCAAGAGCTGGGCAGGAGAGTCAGGGAGTCACAGGAGTCGGGAGCCAGAGGTGCCAGAAGCAACATGGGAAGTTCATAGATGAGGTAAACAAGCCTTGGGGCAGCACGTAGATGAATAGAAAGGGGTTAATTTAAGTTATAAGAGCTTGTTAAAAAACAAATCTAAGTGATCGGCCAAGTATTTATGATTAATAATAAGTCTCTGTGTGGTTATTTGGCTGGTGGGACAGAAAACTCTGACGACATTTCCTGCACCTCCTCACATGAACATGGTCTTTAAAGTTACTCTTTATTTCTGTTCTCCCCTCTCCCTGGAGGCAGCTGAACAATTTACCTAGGGGAATGACTCACATCATTGTGGATTTAATGATGAATTGATTGATTGAGACAGGGTTTGGCTACAGTTCGAATTGGCCTCAAACTTGTAATCCTTCTGTTCTCCTCTCAGGCATGGGCATTTCTGATTTTTAAAAATTAATCCTTGGTGAAATTAATTGATCATAGTATATTGCAATTTTGAATCTCTCTCTCTCACACAAACACACACACACACCTAAAAAAGAAAGGGGGGGAGGAGAAGGAGAAAGAAAGGAAGGAAGGAAGGAAGGAAGGAAGGAAGGAAGGAAGGAGGAAGGAAAACCAAAAAAACAAACCAGGCTGGAGAGATGGTTCAGAGAGTGAAGTGCAAACATGAGGACCTGATCTCAGATCCCTAGCATCCACGGTGAGGACCAGATCTCAGACCCCTAACATCCACAATGAGGACCTGATCTCAGACTCCTAGCATCCACGGTGATGACCTGATCTCAGACCCCTAGTATCCATCTAAACAGCCAGAGCATCTGCAATACTAGATCTGGGGAGGCTGTAACCGCAGGATCCCTGGGGCTGGCTAGCCAGCTAATCAGTCATACTGATGAGTATCAGGCTCAGTGAGAAATCTGCCTCAAAGGATAAAGTGGAGAGTTATATAGGAAGACACCCAATGTCAGCTTCTGCCCTCCATATGCATGCACACACATATGCATTCCCAAATACATACACATATGCAAACATGTCCACATACACACACACACCACAAGCATACAAAAGCAAAGAATCACAGGGCAGTGGCAGTGCACACCTTTAATCCCAGCACTCCGGAGGCAGAGTCAGAGCGAATTCCAGGACAGCTAGAGCTACACAAGAGAACCCTGTTTCAAAAAACAAAACAAAAACCAATGTGACAAAAAGACACAGCACATAGACTCAATGTAACACAAAGCAGCTTTTATACACAGGAAACACATTTACCTTCCCCCAAGATAATCTTCTCTCATCATTTTGTCTTTTAGGGTAGCTCAGGGCCAAATTCCGATCCTGGTAGCCAGTCTTTAATCGAGTGAGACAGCTAGCTTTGCCGTCTGTAGCCTGGAAGGGTTTTCTGGGAAAGAGCCTGTGTGTCAGGGTTAATCACAGCCTGACTTAAACCTTAGATTATGGACGGAACATGAAAAGGGCAGACAGATGATTACCGTGTGGTCAGCTGAAGCAAGACACTTAGGTCCTGGAAGAGAAAGATGAAAAACTTTGGGTTCATCTCCAGGGTACAAAATCTAAGGTAGGTCCAGTGAACACTTAGAGCGTTTGGGTTAGAGGTGGCTCTTCCCACAACCCCAAACTGTGTATTAGCAGATCAGGACAGACATGTCAATGGGACAGGGCAGTGGTGATGCATCCCTTTAATCCCAGCACTCGGGAGACAGAGGCAGGCAGATCTCTGTGAGTTCGAGAACAGCCTGGTCTACAGATTGAGTTCCAGGGCAGCTAGAACTGTTATACAGAGAAACCACCCGAAAAGAAAAGAAGAAAAAGAAATGTAAATAGACTTTGAGCCAAAGTTCAAGAGGGAGAAGGGGTGGGGGAGGGCTGGAAACAAATGTGATAGGTTGGCTCTGAGTTAGGAAACTTAGATTTCCACCCCTGCTAGATTCCATTCAGATGTGTCTTGGACAACTCAACCATTTTCTTTAAAGTGAGAGTCAATAGTGCCTACTCAAAGGCAGCCACACAGATTAGATAAGACTGTGTTTAGAGCAGCCCAGTTTAGTTCCCAGCTTCTAGTAAATTCCACTATTCACCTCCCCATCTCTTCAACCTACCTCTGGGACTATGTAAGAAAATGCTCCCCATGCCTGGCTGCACATTCAAATCTTTGGTGAGTTAATAAGACATCCCATGCCTGGTTTGTGCCTGCAGAAGAGCCTGGACCAACTGGGAGAGTATGTGACCAGGCCCTGAGGATGCTCAGAAACACAAAGGAGAAATAAACAGAACTACAGTTCCTCGTGCGCATGTGTGCATGCGTGTGTGCCTGCGCGCACGTTTCTGTGTGTGTGAGTGTTTGTGTGAGTGGGCAAACATGGAGGTCAGAGGTCAACCTGCGGTGTTGGTTTCCACCTTCTTGCTTGTTTGAGGCAGCACCTTCTGCTCACTGCTGCCTTTGCCGGGTTAGCTGGCCGTCGCAGCGCCTCGGGACACTCCTCTCTGCATCCCAGCGTAGGCTTCCGGGATTACAGCTGTGCATTACTGTTTCAGACTCTAGAGCTCCAGAGTCACAAGTTGTCTGGAGATTTCAATACTTTTCTCTCACCCCTCTTCTCTCTATAGTAGTAGATCAAGTAGCAGACAATCTGTCAGGGCATGGGAACAACGCTGTCAGCTCAGGGACTGAAGCCACACTGAGACCTTTCCCAATCGACACCAGCAAGGATATCCTTCTAAGATAGAACACTTTGTAGGTCATAAAATTAGTGTTAGAAAATTTAAAAAAGATGAAAGTTAAACCAAATGCATTTTGTGACCCCAGTGGAATTAAGAGAGAGCCACCCTGGGGCTGGGAGTGCAGCTCAGTAGTCCAATGATTGCCTGGCATGTGTGGGATCCTGTTTTCAGTTTCCAGCACCCCAAATAAATAATGGGAGCCAAAGAACACAAACAAGGTATCTGGGATATGGTCAATTATTTAGGAACCAAATTATATATTTACTTCTAAAAAACTCATAGATTAAAGGAGAAATCAAGAGAAAAATAAGAGCTGGGCAATGGTGGCGCACGCCTTTAATCCCAGTACTTGGGAGGCAAAGGCAGGCAGATCTCTGCGAGTTCGAGGCCAGCTTGGTCTACAAGAGCTAGTTCCAGGACAGGCTCCAAAGCTACAGAGAAACCCTGTCTCGAAAAACAAAACAAAACAGCAACAACAACAACAAAAAACAAAAACAACAAACAAACAAGAACAAAAAGAACAGGGTTTCTCCCTGAACCTTGTAGATGCAGCTGGTTGTCATGGATTAGATGACTCAATATTGTTATCCATTCACTCTGATATAACAATGGAACTCTAGAAGATAGTGGCCATTAGGGAAATTTAAATGACTACCACAAAGAGGTACTAACTAGTACATACTATTAGAGTGGCATGGTGGCTAATCTTCTGTCAACTTGACACAAGCTAGAGTTATATGAAAGGAGGAACTCTTAATTGAGACAGTGCCCCCGTAAGATCCAGCTGTAAGGCATTTTCTTAACTAATGATTGATGGGGGGAGCCATCGTTAGGGCCCTCCCCTCCCATCTTTAGTATTTCTATCCCTAGTCCTGGGTTCTATAAGAAGGTGGATTGAACAAGCCGCAGGGAGCAAACCAGTAAGCCGCACTCCTTCGTGGCCTCTGCATCAGCTCCTGCCTCTGTCCTGGTTGAGTTCTTGTCCTGACTTTCTTTGATGATGAACAGTGATGTGGAAGTGTAGGCCAAATAAACCCTTTCCTCCCCAACTCAGTATTATTTTTTGTTTGTTTGTTTGTTTGATTCATTGCACAATGTAAACCTTAGCTAAGACAAGTGACTAATAAAATACTGAAATACCAGTTTCCATAGGGTGTTGAATGGCTGAAACTCAGGCACATCTGGTGGGCAAAGAAAAGCACAACCGCTTTGAGAAACAGTCTGGCCGTGTCTTTAAAAAAATAAACTCATCATTCCCACATCTACATATTTGCAAGAATAAACATTTGAACATATTTTCACATCTTTGTACATGAAGGTTTCTAGTGCATCATCCATGACGGAACCAAACAAGAAACATTCCAAATGTCTATCAACAGCAGATGGTCACACACCAACCGTAGTTCATCTGTACGATGGGGTAGTACTTAGCAACAGAAAGGACATGCAGTTAATGCCTGCAACATGGGTAAACCTCAGAAAAATTACATAGATCAAAGGAAGTTAGTAAGGTACTCCTTGCCTCCCCAAAATGTACCTACCACGTGGTTCCATTTCTATAGCATCCTAGACAACGAATCTTCAGTGAAGTAAAACAGGTCAGGGGTTGAGGATGGGGTCGGGGGGGGGGGGGAATGCAAAGAAGTATGAGAAAATCTGGAGATCTGGAGTGTGGGTACTTGACTGTGATGACTTCTTAAGTATATGTCAAAGCTCAGTCAATTGTCTGTTTAAATATCTGTGGCTTATTGTAAGTCAACTGTAGCACAAGAAAGCAGTTTTGAGAAAATTTTTATCTGGGGCTAGGGACAGCTCATTGAGTAAAATGCTTGTCTAGTGAGTTCAATACTCAGAATTCACTTTTTACATAAACTAGACTGGCCTGGAACTCATAGAGGAGATTAAAGGCATGGACCACCATGCCCAAAGAACCTATTTAAAAAAAAAAGCGGGGTGTGGAAGCAGGCACTTATTTATAATTCTGATCCTGCACATGTAGGAACGGGTGGATCTCTGAGGCTTGGTGGCCAGTCAGTCACACCTAATTGGCAAGGCCAAGGCTAATGAAAAGAACAAGGGGGATGGCACCCAAGGACCCAAGGTTGGCCTCTGGTCTTGATGTGTCCACATTGACACTGACACAGACAGACAGACCACACACACACACACACACACACACACTCCACAAACACACACACAGACACACACACCACACACACAGACACACACACACCACATACACACAGACACACACACACTACACATACCACACACACACATACCACACACACAGACACACACACACACCACACACACACACACACACACACACACACACACTCTAGGTGATTCCACGATGCAGCTAATATGGAGGACCCTCTGTACCATGCACACACAAGACTCTCCAAAGTCCCCAGCTTCGGCCTGCAAGCTGAGTGCCACGAAGCCACCAAGAGTGGCCTACTGTAGGAGTCCAGTCCTGCTGCGAGCTTACAGAGTGGCTACAGAAAGAGTGTACAAATCACCCTCCCGTTTCACTGTGGTAATTCCAAGGCATTCGTTTCAGGCCACAGGGAAGCATTAGATAAAAGTTACTACACTGAAATGAAATATAGCCAGGGCCTGAGAAGCCTTTAAGCTTCTAGAGTAATAAATCATCCACAGTGCCGAGACAATTTTGGATCTGATATTTTGGTGAAACTCCTCCTCCCTTCTTTCATGGGCTAAGCTTCTGTACTGCTCTTTCTGTATGTGAGGCTGTAATTTGAAGCCGTTGTCTGCTTCCCTTCCTATGACCCCGTCTTCAGGGTTTCCAAGAATAGACACTTGAATATATCGATGAAGCTGTTGACTCTGGGAGCGGAGACTTTCTTAAATAAGCGCATCTCCTCTTTCTTCTCAAGGACTCAAACAGGACACGCCATAGAAGATTCGACCATGGATGAGTGAGGCTGGTCTATCTCAGAGGCAGGGGGATGACTTAGAGTGTGTATGTGAGTCACCTGTTAGGATGTGATTGTGAGGCAGGGAGTGAGATGGACCCAAGATTTTGCATCTGAGCAGCTTCTCCCAGGTAAGACTGGTGCTGCTAGCTGAGTCTCGGGACACTGTAAAACAGCATGATGGCCCCAATTCATAAAGCTGGTCGTTCAAATCAAAACGAGGAAACTTCTTAGCATTGTCCTCAATTATACAGTCGTGAACACTCTTCTTCATGGAAGTGCTTTTGCATCTGGGAAGAAAAATACTCATGCTGGGCATGGCCTGAAATTAGGAAATACATAGCCTAGCGGGTAAAATGCGTGCTCCACAAGCATAGAGGCCCGAGTTCAGATCCCCAGGACTCACAGAGGTGCCCAGAAAGGACATAGACACCTGCAACTCCAGACCTGGTGGGGATGGAGACAGGAGGATCCTGGGAGATCACTGACCAGACAGTCTGGCTGAGATGGCTGAAGCTCTGGAACCTGTGTCAAAAACTGAAGCGGTGAGCCACAGAAGACACCTAACCCTGACCTCTGTCTTTCACAGGAGCACACACACACACACACACACACACACACACACACACACACACGAGAGAGAGAGAGAGAGAGAGAGAGAGAGAGAGAGAGAGAGAGAGAGAGAGATTGATTGATTGCTGGTTATATCTATTCCTCCTACCCTGAAAGAATTCACAACATATTTTGTGTGGGTTATTCAGTTACCCCAACCCAAACCACCTTGTTCCTATTACATCCGACCACTCGTGTATATTTTGAGGTGGGAGACACTTACCCTAAGTATTTACCTAGCTGTTGTTTTTCGGGTTTTGTGACAAATGGGTTGATCTCTTTTCCAGATAGTGAGAGGATTAGGTTGCACGTCTTGAATTTTCTCCTTTTTGAGGCAAAGATAGCCCTGGAAACAGCAGCACTTGCTTCGAGTGATTCGGAGTCCAGCGCTGGAGTGAGTTCAGGATGGTCTCGAGACATGGCCGTGAATCTTCCCAGGGAACTGGCTGTCGCACGGGTAGGTTCCCTCACCCACTACTCACTTCCCCTTCTACTCTGCAAGTCAAATTGCATGAGGTTTTTTTTTTTTCCAAATCAAATATTTTGGGGAAGGAAATAGAGAAACTTAGTTCTACCTAAAACTGATGAAGCTAAGCAAACACATTTCACACTCACACTCACTCTCACACACACACGATGTATATTATGATGTATATACAAATTTGTAAGTTCAACAAGGTACTCTTTTTTAAAAACATTTTTTTATTTTTATTTTATGCACATTGATGTTTTGCCTACATGTACGTCTGTGTGAGGCTGCCAGGTCCCGGGAACTAGAGCTACAGACAGTTGTGAACTGCCATGAGGGTGCTGGGAATTGAACCTGGATCCTCTGGAAGAACAGCCAGTACTCTTAACTGCTGAGCCATCTCTCCAGCCCCAACAAAGTACTCTTAATGTGTTTATATTTCAATCAAACTTCTTATTGTAGGGACTGGAGAGATGATGGTTCAGTGGTTAGAAGCACTGGCTTCTCTTCCAGAGGACTTGGGTTCAATTCCCAGCACCCACATGGTGGATCACAACTCCAGTTCTGGGAGATCCCATGCCCTCTTCCTCACTCTCTAGACATCAGATTATGTGTGGTGCACAGACATACATGCAGGCAAAATACACACACACACACACACACACACACACACGCAAAACAAATAAATAAAAAGAACTCCCTCTGTTTTTGTAAAAACCTAAATCTTACTGTGGGTGACCTCCTTTCTCCATTCACCTTGCTTGTTAAATGAGCACATCACCATGTCTGATGAGAATAACTGAGGGAAAGGAATTCATGAAGGTTAAGCATAAATCCATGTTCATGGCTCTGTATTCCGGTCCAGGAATCCTTATTAAGAGATTACAAGAGCAATTTTCTGTCTTTCAAGCATCTATTTTTTTTTTCTTCCAGAAGAATGTGAATCGCCGCTGGAATGAGCGTGGTAACAGGAGTCCTTCTGTCAACAGTGTGGGACCGGAAGGAGAGCTGAAGCTGGGATGTCTGGACTATGGATTTGGATGGGGTTTGGGATTTTTGTTGTTGTTGTTTATTGCCAGAAAACTCAAAGTTCAAAGGGTGTGGAAAAGTATATTGATTAGGTCTGGACTGGTCAAAGACTAGATTTATATCTGCATTTAGCTAATGTTTTACACATGGTCTCCTTTGTGTGTAAAAAGCATTGAAGCCCTGATTAGCTAAAGCTGAGGGCCAGCTGCAAGCCATTCCTTTTCTTGTCTTCTTTTCTTCAATCATGGCCATTTACTAGGTAGGTAGATATTAAATCTCTAGGAGTAAAAGGGAATGTGAGTGGCTCAAGTGGCCTCTGATCTCTAAAGTCCCAGTGGCGCCAGCAAACCTTCCTGGGTCCTGTTTCTCCCCAAACCCCCTGCTCCAGCGACACAGTCACAAGAGAGAGCTGGTGAGCCAAACTGCCCACAGGCCCTTGGGCCTATCCATCTTTCTTTTGTTAAGTTTATCAAGTACGTTCAGTTCTGCTGATAGAAATTTCTCCCCATTATTTCATTGTCATTAAGAATTACATTGCTATGTTGGGTGTGGTGGCATATGCCTCTAATCCCAGCACTCAGGACACAGATTCTTGTGCATTCAAAGCCAGCCTGGTCTACATAGCAAGTTTCAGGCCAGCCAGTGCTGCATAGTGAGGTCTCACTTTAAAACATAATCCAACAAATAAACAAAAAAAAACCAGGCCAGGCAGTGGTGGTGCACACCTTTAATCCCAGCATTTAGGTGGCAAAAGCAGGTAGATTTCTGTGAGTTCGAGTCCAGCCTGGTTTACAGAGCTAGTTCCAGGACAGCCAGGGTTACATAAAGAAATTCTTTCTTGAAAAAGACAAAAACCAAAACCAGAACACCAAATCAACTAAACAAACAAACAAACAACAAATAAAACAAGCACAAAACAAAACTAACAAAATCAAAATTCAGACCAACAAACAAAAATACGCTGCTAAGTTATTGAAGGCATTAAGTGTTTTACATATGTTCCCTTATTCAGTTCTCATGACACTCAGAACACAGATGAGGATAGAGGGACAGGAAGGTAATGTAACATGTCCAGATCCTCAAGGTCCAGATCCTAAATACAGTCATGTACAACACGTTTTGGACAAATATGATGCTAGTCTCATAAGAGCAAGGCAAAGCTGAAACACCTCTCCTCCTTCCCCTGCCCTCCCCCACTACTCCCTCTTCCTCTCCCTTAGGAATAGGGAATGACCTCAGAGCTTTGCATCTACTAGTCAAGGACTTTATCCCTGAACTACATGGTCCAGGAGCTGAAGAATTCCCATCACTTCTACAGTCTTGGTGATCCTGGTAAAGGCAGACCTTGCCAGGTGTGTGTTAGCACACCATATGTCATTGTGTACTGGATGTAATGCTTCTAACAAGACACAACTATGTTCCCTGATTTGTAATAACTTGAGAGTGTGCTCTGACTTACAAGAATGCATGATGGGTCTTTCTGACAGCAGCCACATCCATGTGATATTTACTGTGTCTGTTATCCAATCACGAGACCAGGTGCCGTGACTGGCCATCTAGTCTGACTTGTGATACTCACACAGTAGTGAAACTACCTAACCAAGTACTTCTCAGAAAGCTTTCTGTCACTAAGGGACACATGAGTACACTGTACAGGCGTCTTAATCTCAGGGCTCATTTCCCAACCACTCTGGACTCCTGCTTCCCTTCACCATGGATTCTTCCAGGATTTGAGAGCTGTGGGGCTTTGGGAAAGGGATAAATACACAGACAACTAATACAGTTGCTTTAAATCACCTTAGATTCCCACTTATTTGCAAGTCATCTGCTCTCTACTCAATTCTTCCAGAGTATAATTTCAATTTAATCAGAGGATTGCAAAGTCCCATCGCTAACCAAGAAGCTGTTTGCAATGGATAGCTGTTGGGAGAGGAGAAAAATCAGTTTTCTTCAGTGGAGTGGCACTGGGAATATCAGCCATGCTCCGGGAAGGCCTTAGGTTTAGGAGCAGTTAGCCAGCACCAAACAGACTTTTTTTTTTTTTCAGAGTTTCTCTGTCCTGGAACTCACTCTGTAGACCAGGTTGGCCTCAAACTCACAGAGATTCATCTGCATCTGCCTCCCAAGTGCTGGGATTAATGTGTGAATATGTGGGTCACCACTGACTGGCTTTTTTTTTTTTTAAGAGAGAAAAAGAACATAAAGTTTGTGGGGAAGATTTGGGAGGAGTGGAGCAGGGAAAAATATTATCAAATTATATTATTTTTTTTTAAGTTAAAAAAATAAAGTCAAAACATTGGACTTCACAGCAGATAGCATTTCCTGGAGATCTACCTCACCTCCCCCGACCCCAAAGTTCCTGGGTAAGTCTCCCATAGCCCTGCTCGTATTTTCAAACTATCTTTCCTGGATGTCACTAGGTGGGTCCCATGCTACTCGGCAAAATTCTGAAACCCAACTTGAAGGAGAAGCAGAGAGTTTCTGATGTGACTAGACCCATAGCATGTGAATTCTGGGTGGGACTTGAGAGAGAGAGGCAGACAGACAAAGGGAGGAGAGTGAGGGATGGGGCAGAAGAAAGACAAAGATTAAGTAGAAACCTAGATAGACAGGGGACTTCAGTCAGGGTCCCCATTCCTCTAAGCCTTAGTGAGGCAGCTGTGTTCCCCTACACGCGTCCTTCTAAGCCAGGCACAGGGTTCTGTACCTGTAGTCCCAGCACTTGGGAAGTAGAGGCAGGAGGGTCAGGAGTTCAAAATCAGCTATGTACAAGGTTAGAGGCTAGCCTGGACTACATGAGACCCTCAAAGACAAAAGAAAAGAAAAGAAAAGAAAAGAAAAGAAAAGAAAAGGAACCTGAGACCCTCCATTCAGACAGTACTTACAGTCTCTACTCTCTTTCGGGTACAGTCCACACCCCAAGCCGTCTTTGAACCTCTAACTGTATTTTCTAAAGCCCGGCCATTTTATCTTGCATTCACCTTACATTCTTACCGTGAGGCCAGAACACATTCATGGCTCGCTAGGGCTCATGTTTCATAGGTCACTATTTAATCATGTTTCATGGTTTAAAAAAAGGACTATGGTCAAAAATGCTTGAAAAATCCAATTTTTCCTTTCTCTTTTGTTTTTGTTTTGTTTTGAGACAGGATTTCTCCATGTAGCAGCCTTGGTCAGCCATCCTGGAACTCACTCTGTAGACCAGGCTGGCCTCATACTCACTGAGATCCAACTGCCTCTGCCCCCCCCCCCCCCGAATGCTAGGATTAAAGGTGTGCACTACACCGCCCAGCCCATTTTTCTTTTCAATATTTTTGATATATTTACAAATATATCGAAGACTGAAGTTATAAATTTTACTCTCCACTCTTAAAAAGCCAAACCCAGCTTGAATTTGTTTTCTTCCATGGCATAACACCTACAGCACAAAGGGAAATGTCTATAGTATTATGATAGATCAAACTATTTTTTGGGGGGGCTTTACTCACATGCACGGTGTACGGGCTAGCTGATTTGATTTTCCCCTTTTGTCCTTTTTACCTCCCAAATAGCATCCCATGTTTCTGTCTTTCCGCAGCTCCTGCCTTCACATTGAATGCTTCAATTCATTCAGATCCCGAGGCCCAGGGAGTTCCCTTGCATTTTCTCTTTGTGTCTTACCCTCTGTGGGCTGTGGTCAGCTTTCCTTTTAGACCAGGCATTGCACGGATGTGATAATGTCCTCAGAATTCGCTGATAATGGAGGCACTGTCCTAGGCGGACATCTGTGATGGAATCAAAATAGCCACTGCCTCCTTCATTTCCCAGACTCGTCCTGATTTTTCTCATTCCCTTCTCTCCATGTCAGTCCTTTCTTGTCCCTTAGGGAGAAAGTGCTGATGGACTTTGACATCAGAACCTCCTTCAGGAGGCTAAAACGGAGCGGGAGGAGAAGGCAGAGGATCAAATAGCAGTTGGGCGGGAGTTATGTCCGGCTTTCCCAGCTGCAGAAGAAGCGGTCCAGGCCAGCTGCCCCTGCTGCCCTGCTACTGACCAGCAAAGAGAAAGATAGAAGACTTGAAAGCAGCCAGAAACACAGCAGGAATCCTCATGTTGGGAGCATAAAGGAGAGGGAGAGGGCTTTGAACAAGCAAAAAACAAAACAAAAGAAACATTGTATGAGGCAAGGTGCTGCATGCCTGTAATCCCAGCACTCCAGAACCAGAGGCAAAAGGACTGCCACAAGTCTGAAACTAATCTGGTTTATATAACGAGTTCCAGGACAAAATAGCAAGACCCTAAAACAAATTATTGTGTTTGTGTGTGTTGTGTGTGTGTGGTAGATAGGGGTGTGGAGGGGAAGTGTGGAGCATCAACCAAGATTTATATCTAGAACCCACAAGTGAAAGTTCTAGAACACCCTTGGTGCTCAGTGGAGACATGTGGCCCTCCTTAGTCTATGGGACATAGATTCCAGCTAGACTATCTTATGGTTGGTTGCCACAGCCCCAGGTCACGAGACTCCTCTTCAGCAGGAGTCCCTAATAGTATGGTCCTCAGTTTCTCCTGTGCTGGATTGGTTCTGTGGGGCTGTGGGCCCGGGGTATGACATACTCTGTGCCATAGGGCTGCCCTCCACATTCATGGCTTAACTTGATTTATGCTGAGAGGCTGCTTATGTAGCAGTGGCGTCTTAGAGAAAGTCTATGTTGGCAACCAGCCTTGAGGCTGGAATTCTTGTGGGAAAAGGAAGTCATGGCCTCAAAAAGACTTCTGTTACAGTGTCAATGCTGGGGCCAGGCAAGCAGAGCAGTTAACCTATCTTTACCCAGATGGTTCTAGGACTCTGATGATCTGGGTCTCCAGGCTACCCAGATGTGCCCAGAATAGGCACGAAGGAAATGGCAGAAGGGATTCTTTTTCAAAGATCTAACTTATGGCATGGGATGGATGGATCAGTGGTTAAGAGCACTGGCTGCTCTTCCAGAGGACCCACATTCAATTCCCGGAACCTACATGGTGGTGTAGATGAAGGCTGCTTGTTCGTTTCCTGGCTGCTCAGACCTGAATAATCACACAGAAACTAT